TTACTCACAAACTGGATCAGTTTTGCTGAAAAATCAACTTTAACAAATATAAACTATAATAGTCTTGATCATTATTCTTGTTTTCTAACATTTCTTTATGCCTGATTATGGTAATATTAATAATAATAATAATAATTAAACATTATATGATTCCACTTTAAATCATTATTTTTATTTTTTTTGTTGCAGACGTGGCGCCAGCCAAATGAACACCGGACATGTTGCTTCCTGAGGGCGTCAGACGACTGTTTCGATGTGACAGTCGTCTGAAACCAGCACAGAGACGAGGTGCTGCTGGTAATAGCTGAACAGTAGACGAGTGATTGAGCTGAACCCTTCATGGTGATGAAGGTCTGTTTAGAGGCAGAGAGTTTAATATTTATTTGATGTATTGAACGGTAGGAGTTTTCCTCTACTCCCTTGACAAAGGTTGTTTCCTCACAGTGAGGCTTATATTATAAAACTGATACATGGCTGTATCTAACTAGTTTTAGACTTTATTATATTTTATTTTAATGCCAATTTTTAACTGTTGTGCATAAAAATGTAAAAAAAAAAGAGAATGTAATATAAGCTATTGACTTTCGTCAATGCACAACGTGTATATTTATCAGCATTTCTTGTTCACATTCATCACTAATCATTTGTCTCTTACAACTTGGACATATTTTTATAAATGCTGCATTTGCAGCAAAACAAATAAAAATGTTTCAATTGCTCACGTTGTGTTTGGTGTGTTTAATTGCATGTTAATAGGCAGCACTTTTAAAGGTTTTGCTGTAAACATGACCCTCCTGCGAGGTTCAGTTCTGACCAACGTGGCACAGACCTGCAGCTTCGACTGTTTCGGGGTGAAATCAGTTAAACCAGAATACAATAACAATAAAACAGCCTCAGTAACTGTTAGTGTTTCACCCATTTTCTGGCTGTTTTTGAGCAGAAAGGCCCAGACATCTCTTCCACCTCTTCAGGGAGGATCCTAAGATGTTCCCAGGCCAGCCAAGAGACTAGTCTCTCCAGCGTGTCTTGGGTCTTCCCCAGGGTCTCTTCCCCAATGGGCATGCGTTTTTTTAGTTACAAGAATTTTTCATTTGAATCCTTATTAGCCTTTAAATCATCATCTCAGTGATATTTTCAGACTTTCTGTCTTTATTTTTATTCTTATTATTATTTTATATATCCTGTCACCTACAGTTTTCACAGTATCAGGATGCTGGACTCTGATCTCTGTATTTGTAACTTATATAATTTCCACTGTTGGTTAAATAAAGAACTATATAAAACACAGTCAAGCACATGAACATGTTTATTTTCAGAGCAAAGGCCATCAGAGTTTAAAGATGAAACGACTGACAGTAACTCAGTAATTCAAGTTATGTTGACATCAAGACGTTACAGAGTCCAAATCGGAGATTGATTAGTAAATAAAATGAATTCCCAGCTTAATCATTAAACAAGTGTTCAACTGAATTAAATAAACGCACAAAACAAACACACAAATTACATTATTGTCTGTAAAACAACCTCATACCCACAAAACTGCAAACATGAAACATTTCCCTCTTGCATATCAAATGAGCGTTGATCCATTGCTTTTTAAGAGCTTCAAGTGTTAAGAAAAATTATTTCTGATTTTAAGGACTTAGAGTTTCCATTTCAGATATTTTTGCTACAATTGTTGCTTAATTCTGCACCATTTATATGTCCAGTATTCCAAATGTATCCAAATGGTGATTCTTTATATCAGAACACCCACAAAGCATGATTTGATGGCTACACATAAAAATAAAAAACATGTTGTTGTGACTGTTTGTTGTTCTTCCTGCAAAGCTGGACATATAAACTAATTAAGACTTCTGTGGTGCAACAATAATGCAGTTTAAGGCCTCTCCGTGGGGTTTTCAATTCATGCATAGATTGAGAAAGACTGAGCACGGATGCTAACACTACACATGTAAGTGTTGCACTGCAAATTTTAAAACTCCAGACATAAACAAGCAGCAGGTAAAGATGTTGCAGTGAACTACACAAACAGGACGATGCGTGAGTATTGTCGCTAGTGGTCGCCTCAGTAACCCACCCATCACAGCGACATCCTGAATGTCAGCGTGGTGTTTCACAGGGAGCGGTGCGTTCAGGTTCACTTCAGGAGACTCTGCAGCATGGCGGTGGCGTACGTCGGGCGGGCCTGCTTGTTCTCTATGGCTTTCTTCAGATACTGGATCCCGTCGCAGCGCTCCCAGATTTCCTCGAACTGCCTGGGCAGGATCTCCGCCCCCCTCTTCCTGGTCAGGCCCGTCTCCTCCAGACTCAGCTCGCACATTTCCATGTCGTCTTTGCCTGAGAGAAGGCGACAGAGCAAAGACACAAACAAAATGTTTACTCCCTGGGGCGGGGATTGATGAGGAAAACAAAGGCCTAGCGTCAGGTGCGAGATTAAAATTGCTAAAAAAAAATTCATATTTGTTATGATCGAAAAATCCCATTTGAATATAATTGTCACATCATCATGTCTTTGTTGTAACAAGACAAAGGAAAAGCTGATGATTCACCTGCGACCAAAACAATGGGCTGTTTGTCCGGATGAAGCTCCATCTGTCTGGCTATCCACGGCCCGTCGAAGTGGGCGTACCACCAACCCTTCTTTTTATTCTGGGGGTCCTTGTACTGGTCTGCGGGCCGGATGAAAGGAATGCGAAAGTAGCGCTGCTGGCGGTTCATTGCCACTTCGTGATGCTGGGCTGTCGTTGGCGGCGCTGGGTTCTGCTCGGCTGCGACGTGACCGTTACAAAAACAGATTTGTGATCAAAGTGAAGCAGGAGTGTGTCGGGCGGACGAGTTTCAGCAGTTTTAGTTTTTCTAAGAACATAAAACGCTGTTCATACTAATCACAGCAAACAGTTTTAAAAAAAGAAAGCGATGTGCTGGGAGACAGCTGAAGTGTGTTCTGTTTAAATGTATGGTGATTATTTTTCTATTTCTGTTGGTGTGCTGTAACTTTGAGCACATTTAGAACGACAGTGTGGAATAACGTCCTTTACTGACCATAGTCAGTGATGGATTTCGGAGCTCTCTGGTAAACCCCATCATCGTCCCGTTTCTTGTTCTTGGACTTCCACGCGTGATAAACCTTCAGACGACGGTGGAACTCCTCTCTGCAGGCTGCCAGCAGATCGATGTCTGCGAATTACAAAAACTAATTGTTATTTCACCTTAACGTAAAGAGGATTTCTGATCTACAGTAGTCCCTCGCTACTTGGCGGTTCGACTTTTGCGGACTCGCTCTTTCACGGTTTTTCAAAGTAAGATTGTACACGAGAAGAAAAACATTGTACACAACATGATTGTCAACTTTAATATTACTCATATGATTGGCCCAGTACTGGATACTGTACAGTAAAAAGTTAACCAAAAACAAAAACTTCCGACAGGCGCTGCCATTTTGTAGCTTTCTCTCAATAAGCCTACACTATCGCCACCCAAAAGGACTACATTTCCCAGAAGCAAACAGTGCTTCCGGCCATTGCTTCTGCTGAAATGGAGGGAAAGTTTTGATCAGATATGAAAAAGTTTGGTCCTTATTCATAGTGACTTTGGCGCCTAAAAGATGCAGAAAGCTACAAGAGTGGGGGAAGGGTTTATAAAGCCTTAAAATATAGAAATACTAAAATAAATAACGCCCCTACTTCACAGATTTTCACTTATTGTGGTCCGGAACATAACCCCTGCGATAAAGGAAGGACCACTGTACATCGCTTTCCCAATTTGCACAGAACTTTAATGGAATGCATCTTTTTACACCGCCAGTGCTGAAACATCCAGGAGGACAGCAGCACAAAGCCTCCAGCATTTGAGGAGAAGGGACCATTGTGGTTTCGTGCTGAGCGTTACATTAGACGTTCACAGATACTCTCACATCCTCCCATTCAGTATCAAGCTGTCTTTTCTGCTGCTTGTCTCGCAGCTACACGATCCATTAACCCTTACACAAATAGGTGCACACAGAAGTCCTGGTTTAATGTTTTTGCTGACGTTATCATGTAGTTTACGAGCCAAAAGGGGAGTTTTACAGTTCTACTATCGCTGTTGGGGTGACCTCAACAGACATACTAATAATAGCTGCAAACTATATATAGAAACTTGGACTTGGCCTCAAAAATGTCCTAAATGAGGACGGATGAATCAATCATGTTGGAAGCGATTCAGCTGAAATGCTGTAAAAGCTTACGGAATACCACATATTTGTAGAAATGCAAAACAAAATACACAGAAAATACTCCTGCACCATCAAAGCTAATGGTTTCCACAAATGATCCAGATGTCCTTGGACATGTCTCAGAGTGCAGTGTACAGCAACGACGTGAAAAGAGGCTTGAAAACGGGAGCCAAGTGAGAGTTTCAGCCTTTCATGCTGACTGAGAAGAAGCAAATGTTAGCCATCTTTCATGACGGGAATAATTTCCTCTCTCCACCACTTAGACACAAGTGGAAACATCCTCATGTTGTGCCTTTGATAAAAAATTTTTTTTTTGGAGCGAGTCATGTTCACACTCTGGACAGCTGAAGCCTTTCAACAGCAACTCAAAGAACTGACGTCCCGATGAAAGGCTTGCTCGTGACGCCACATGAGTTTGGGTTAGAAGTGCCAAAACAGGAGTTTGGTGCTGAATTGTTTAACGTTTGGTTTGAACACAAATAAATTTGGGCAGAAGGAGTAACTAACAACTCTGTGTCAGACTGAAACTGGATTCGGGACTTTCTCACCACAGGAAGTGTTGATGACATCTCGCAGCTCGGCGTACTTCCACTTGCTCAGATCATACTTTTTCACACCGGCAGCAGCTTTGGTCGCCTGCACCTGAGGACCCCTGGAGTTAGAAACAGACGAGTGCGGGTGAGAAAAGAAACAACCTGTGCATTTGAGAACATCAAAGATAAACTCATCAAGGATTTGTAATTTTCACACTGAATCTGATTCGAGTTGCACATTTCAGGGGAGTGTTAATTTTCACAAGTAAATAATAAATTCTGATTAGTTCACTTCTAGTCTGAGATGAAAAAGCCCATACATGATACAGCAAATAAAGCAGACTTTGATGCCAGTATTTGCTGCATTAACTTGATCATTTTAAGCCTACAATGAGATGTTTTTCTTTATTATTATTGGGATTACTTTTTAAAGTGTGAAGACCACTGAAAAAACTAATTAGCAATGCTTTTCTATAAAAACCCAATTAATCAGATTGTTGCTGAGCTCTTATCTGATGTTTTCAGCTTCCCTGCTGAGCTGAAGCCATAACAGGAGCAAGGATTTGCCTTCTCTAATTACAGTCAGTCTCTGGATTAAGGACTGCTGATCTATGAATCATTACATTATTATTTAGACGTCTGACTGACTGGAAGGATCAGACTCATTCAGGATCAGTGCAACATGTGAGTTAATGGCTGCTCTTTGCTTCTGGCAGCTGGGGAAAGGGAAAAGGTTGGCTGGAGAAAAGGAAGCATGGAACTTTTTGGATGTCTTTTAGCCACAATGCTAGTGAGGTTGGCCAGTGTGTGACTGGAGCTGAGCACAGTGTTGTTTAGTTAGAAAACAGAGGCATGTAGAAATATTCTATCAGTTTGTACAAGTTCACAACTGATGCCAATGAAATGTATTCAAGTGGATTTTGTTAGTCTGATTAGCTAACTGTGCATGCAAGTCATTTTTTTCAGTAATTTTTTTAAATATGACCTAAAAAAAACAACTATTTTTTCTTATGAAAGGTTAAATAAACCAAAATATTGCTGTTAATTTTTGACTGTGTAACTTTACAAACGGCACCCCATACATTATGTATATGGTGAGACAACAACATAGAAATTGTACTATTTCAGGTAGATTTTCTATTTTCACAACCATAATAAGACTGTGATGAGATTATTAAACACAGATCTTGATCTAAAGTGAGTGTTGATATTTACATATGAAACTAAAACCCTTAACCTCCACTTTCATAAGAGAAAAAAAAAACATTTTTGTCAACGTGTTATATCCTGAAAAACATCCAAACAAAAAGTTAGTGATTAAAAGCCTTCATACACGATTTAGGTAGAGGATTAGTTCAGAAAATATTCTTGCTGTTGTAAAATTAACCAATCAGATGAACACAGATTAATGAATAAAGACGGAGATTAACATAGCATAATTATAATTTCTATAGTAGGTAGGGAAAACACAACAAATGTTACAGGAACACTTTCCTCACTGGAATCATGCAGAGCCAGTTCAGATGAGTGATTTTCATCCAGCTCTAATTTATGTCTTGTTGTAACATCTTTATCTTAAGGTGACAGATAATATGTTTGAAATGATGGTGGAGCAGATGCTCCATCGTTTTCCAAAGCACGGGTGTAAGTTTATGTTTTGGCTCCTCTTTTATTGAACTAATATGTTATTACTCATAGCAATAAGACGGAGAATAATTTGAGTGATATTGTATTAATTAACAGAGCAACATATCTATAAATTTAACAAAGTGTGGAAACAAAAGGCAGGTTTTTATTGATTCTAATTTCACCTTACATACTGGTATAAACTAAAAAATATGATAAATAAGGGATACACTCTACACCCTGTCCTGTCCCTGAGCTTTGAGTAGGTTCAGTTCAAATCAGCAGAACAACAAGCTGCTAGCTTGCTAGTCAGTCAGCAATTGACATGACGCTACCTGTCAATCAATTCCGTAGGCTCGTCAGCAACTGGCCAATCAACGATGGCAACGCCCCTTACCTGCAGGACCTGCACCTCCTTTTCCTCCGACAACATTGTTGGATTTTTGCATTGCGAATGCTTTGCAGGCAGAGGGATTTTATGAGAAATCATCAGAGAAAATAGTTAAATGTTGTCAGTGGGGAACATGCAATTCAGACAGCGTTACCCTGAGAATTTAGAGGATGCAATACAGTTTATTCCATTTACAAAACCTAAACTGAGTGGGAAAATGTTAAAGATGGATAAAGGCTGGAGGCCGATCCAATGATCAGCTGAATACAACAGTGATAAACAGGAAGTACCACATGTTCATCTGCACAACGGTAACTGCAGGTTAAATCCTTCATTCTCTGTCATAATTACATGATTAATAGTGAAATTAAAGGTTAATGCTTAAAGCTAGTCGTGCTTTGTTTTGTGTGTTTTGTATGAAGATATGTGTTGCAACTCTAGGTCAGAGCTAAATATTTAGTTAGCAAATTAAATATTTAGTTTGGCTGTATAAGTTTAGCCTTTTGTTTACTCTGATCAGTTAAAGCTAAACTGATTTTGCACAAAGAGCTTATTAGGTTGTGCAATGTCAAACCTGCACTCAGTATATACTGCATTTTACTGAATTGTTGCCATGTGTCGCTCTGTGGCATGAAAACATCTAATGCAGTAACTATTTGATGTTATTAGTAGCTTTGAAAATACAGTGTTGCCTTAATGTTGGCTGATAAAGCAGAAATGCCTCAGGTAATGCCGTGAGCTTCACTACCTCCACCACAACTATCTTGTTTGTGTGTTTGACGGAGGTTGGCTCACCTTGGGTTACTTTTGCGTGGGTGGAGCGATCTTACCGTTCGCGTCATGTCAACTAACCGCAGAGATGTTAAAAAGAGAACTAAAGTTGGGCTTTAGCAGTCGAACACGCACAGCATCTTTTTTTTTTTTTACTACAAATCAAACAGAATAGAGTAAATAATTTGATTGATATTGTGCTAACAGTGCTTTCATTAACTATCCGTATTATTATTATTAACAGTAATATCCATAAATTTAAAAAAGCGTGGAAACAAAAAGCAAACTCTTTTTTGGGGCTTCAAACTCAAGTTACACCGACCTGCCAACCAGTGTCTTTTCTCCCTCATATTTTAACATAATCAAGGCGCTCAGGGGTGCTAGATATTTTGTGAGGAATGATGGAATTGCATTAACAATATAATCCTGTATCTACTTCAAGCAGCTGGAGGTTTTGGAAGTACAACAGGGATTCACAATCCCGTCCACACAAGAATATGATCTTTTTCAAAACAACAGTTCTCCTCTTAAACATGGCAAAACTAGAAAGCTTCATCCGACTGCTGAGCTGTCCATGCTAGGTCTGTATGTGGCTGTGATGCAGCCACTAAAGGACACCAAGTAGAGTACAGATGACGTGGAGCATGCGTATGGTGAAGAACAGAGCAGAACCCAAAACCATTTTGTGGACTGACAACTAAGAGGAATTTCTAATTTGTGTTTAGCTGAACTATGAGACCTGAAAAGTGCAGAACAGTGTTGACTGGGAGTCGTGTCAGTCCAATTACGAGGACATAATGAACGATTTTTATGTAGAGTATTCACAGGGGTGGCTGGGTAAATTATTTATACACAAGCGTCACCTTTAAAACTACTGTGTTCCAATTTTCAATGTTTTTGTAACCATAAATTTGATGTACATTGTAGTTTTTTTTCCTGCAACATTTGTTTATTTTTGTATTTTGGACAGTTCAATATAGTGATAACAATTTTTGATCTTAAATTAGTGTAATAATATGAAGTTTTTGCTTTACTATATTTAAGGTAATGTTCATCAGCCTTGTCTGGTTATTTAAAAAATACTGTACATTAATCCCTCGTTTATTGCGGGGGATCTGTACGCTGAAGCCCAGCGATAAGTGAAAAAACACAAAATAGTAGTACAAATAGTAAGTAGAAGTTTATTTTAATATATATATATATAAAGGCGTTTTTAACCCTTCCCATACACTTGCAATATTCTAAACAATGTTTGTATATCAAACGCTCTAAAAAAGCACTGCATGTCATGATCTCAGCCCTCTGCCTCCACTGCACTTTGCCATCTGCAAGCGCTCTTGGCCACGCCCACTTTTCCTGCAGTGTGTGCTGCACACATGTGCAGCAGGTGCTAAATAATTTAAAATAATTTATTTTAAATAACATTTCCATGCCGATCATTCTGCTCATCCATCAATCAGCCAATTGTGTGTCATGTCCAATCTCATTCTGAAAAAACGTAATAGGGCGAATCCACAAAAAATGAACCGCGAAGTAGTGAGGGACTACTGTATACAGATGTTTACTACAACATAAATGCAATCTGTCATTATTGTTAAGTCAGTCATGCTTAGGGTTGGAGGTTAGTTACTATGTGAACTTAGGACATTGTTTTCAAAATGTTGCATCTAGGCTGCCCCCTCAAGAATGCAATGTGGTGGCATTTAAATTTTTTTTTCCACTCTGAAACCCAGTTTAAAAAACAAAAGAAAACAATTAGGATCTCCTAAAAAGTGGTTTCTGTGTGGACACCTCACAGCTGAAATGAAATAAAAAAAAAAAGTTGGATAGTCACAAAACTCTGTTCTCGTGTGGACGGGGCTTAAGAGTGTGAGGAACTAAACAAATGTCTACAGATGGTGTTAGTTACACTCAGTTCTGATTTCTTACATGGCTCTGGCTGAGGAGGAAGAGATAGGAAGATCTGAAAAAAAGTCATCACTGTAGAAAACAGTGCAACAAGAGAAAGTCGGTTACATTTGCATGCTGAGGTCAGGCTGGGTCGCATTACTAATTCAAAGCGCACAACACTCTCGTATTGAGGATTATCCTGCAGAGACGGTACCTGCGCAGAGCTGCATCCCCCTGGCCTTCGTCACTGATGAGCTCTGCCTCGCTCTGAGCGATCCTCATGGCGAGCTCCTGGTCCCTTCTCTCCTGTTCCAATACTGCAGCATGCTGGGCCTGCTCCTCACGCTCCAGAGCCATCTGTTTCTCCAGCTCAGCCTGTGAACACAAACCACAATCCACATTTGATACGATTGTATATGATCTACATAAAATATGTTCATGCCACAGTGGTAATACTAACCAGTGAGCCAGATGTTTCCTATCGATGAGAGCTCAGCAAAGTCTAATAAGACTAAAATATACAAGTATTTTGGGCAGCTAATAAAGCTTTTGTGATTGTCTGAACATGGGCAAAGAACAAACATTTAATATTATTCAGATGGAAGGTTGTTTTTATAAAAAGACCTTATAAAAATGGTTCAAGACAAAAAAAAGTACTCAAAATGACTGACTGTTCACTATCAAACTATCATTAATGCTAAGTTTTTTAATTTATTAACACCCACCATTATTTCATATTACAAAACCAGCAAAATATGACACAGACATAAATAAATACATATGTTCTGTGGGAAATGTTGACAAGTAATGCAAATCATAAAAAAAAAAAAAAAAAAAAAAGAAGTTGTTTTTGTGGGATTTCAAGCTGTTTGAGTTGCGGCTTTTGAAACAGGTCCTTCACTTCCATATATGGGGTGTGATGTCACAGCAGAGATCCGATCATGCAAAACGGACAGATTTCTATTGCACAAAGCTGGAGGCAGTTGCAAAGATGGAGAAAACACCCCCATCCGTTTTGATAAACAAACAACAGGAAAAAGAATAAAAACATGCAGAAGACGAAGGAAGTTCGACAGCGTTAAGAGACACAGTGGAAGTGAGTAAAGAGATTTGTGATATTTAGTATGTTTGTATTTTATTGTCAGTGTATAGTTTTATGTGTTTAGTCAGTTGTAGTGTGTTTGAGTAAAAACAGTGACACATTTTTTTTAAAGTGAAGCTGCAGCTTCCATTTAATGTAGGGGTATGGAGCTAGGCCGGTCGCGATAAACAATAAATCAGTTAATCACATGATAAATGAAAATTATCGACCTCGTTTTCATTTATCGGCTTTATTGTTTCTTCGTCTCTCTTTCTACCGAAGACACTGGATGACAAAAGGCTCAACTCCGGTGCTCTTCACTGACCCCTCTCGTTCGCTTTAAAATCTGTTTTAACCGTACAAAAACACGTTTTTGGATCGTTAAAAGCAGCTAAGCTGAGAAGCTCAGCTAACAGGCCGACCTTGGGGAAAAAACTGTCTTGTCGAAGTTCCAAAATTCACGGCTGAAACCTGTGCCTTCGTGTAAAAAGTTGTTTTTCTCTGCAAAAAGAAGCTGAGAACTTGTTCACTGATTTTTTTAATTAAAAGCTTGGTGTGACAAATGCTATGCTAAAGAGCTCAAACCACACCTAGCGTCCGCCGTTTTCATAAACGAATAAGGAAGGAGAGACAGCCCATGTCACGTCAAGGAGCCTCCCTCCCATTTTTCTTAAAGAGACACACTGCTCGCTCCCTCACTATCCATCATTCAGTTCAAACAGTCTTATACTGCCATGCGGTGGTCGAAAAGAGGTACTACATGCAAAACAAATTAACCAACATTTCTTCTTAAATTTGACAGTAGTTACTAATTATTGTCAAATTTCAAACAATATTATCGTTTATCGCAATAATTTTTGAGACAATTAATCGCCCAGCAAAATTGTTATGGTGACTGGCCTATATGGAGCTGCAGATCCAGAAATGGACTGAGTGTCAAAACCTTCTCAGAAAGGCAGAAGGAAAAATCAAAACATAGTCTGAGACAGAGTGAATACTTTGACGAGGAAGTGGGAGATCCATTATTTGTTGTAGAAGCGGAAACAGAGGAAGAGTGCACCAAGCACACACTCCTGCCTGTGCACAATCGCTGGTATGACATCATCAGCTGACCAATTTATTTGTTTAAGATTTTTTTAAAACATTTGCATGGCCCGAGTACCAAAAAAAAAAAAAATCAATGGTTGTAATAAATAAAATAGACCTATTTGTTGTGTATCATAAGCTAGAAGTACATAAAACAAATTATTCGGTTATTGGTTAATGTCTAAATTTACAGATTATTGATACGTAATGTTAAATTAAAAAATAAAATCATGTCTCATGTCTATCACATTTGTCTACAGAAACACATAAATCACATACACACAGAACATCTGTGTTGGAAGTAGGAAGTTCACACCTGAATAACCTTCTCTTCCTCCTTTCTTTTTTTCCTCTCCTCTTCTTCCTGCTTCCTTTTAAGTTCCATCTCTGCTTTGCTAAAATTAGAAAACAGAAAAGGATTTGTATTTTTGTGGAGAAACTTTATGGACTCAACACGTGTCACTGTTGCACATTTACCAACTTATCTGCTTCCATCATCGTTAACTTACAGCTTTCTGTCGTCTTCCTCCTGTTTGCGCCGTTGATCTTCCTGCTCCCTCCTCTGACGCTCTTTCTCCATCTCGTCCTCGATGCGTTTCAGTCTCTCAGTCTCTTCTTCCTCTTGCTTCTTCTTTTTTATGGAGGAGAGCAGCTGCTCAGAGCGCTTCACAAGCCCCTGGTACTCTGTGTCAATCTCCTTCCAGGTCATCACCGTGGCCTGGTGGCAATGAAACACAGGAACATGATCAAGATTGTAAAGGAGGAAATACTTATCTTTTATTAAACTAACATATGTTGCCCTTCACAACAAACTGAGGATTAAGGTGCAAACTGGTATGTTTGCATCAAACTGGCATATTTGCATTGTGCACTACAGTAATTCAAAATTTTGCAAATATTTATTTAGTCAAAAAATGATGAATAAATACCTCATCTGTGGCTCTCTTGAATAAAATGTCTGAAATATGATTCTATAGAGGCAGTTTTCTGAGTAGTGTCAACAAATAAAGTGATTTTGAGCAGAAAACCTTAAATTGTCACTACTCTCCCTGCGTGGTAGCAGAGCTTTTTAAAAAAAATTTGCAATGGGGAGATCCCAAAATCCAAATATAGTTGAAGCTTTCCTTTTTCAACTGGTGTTAATTAATCCTCATTAGAATGCCCTAAAGATAGGATTCATGATTTTCCAGGGGTTATCCCAATTAGCAAGACAAATCAAATCATATCTCTGGAACTGCTCATATCAGATGATCTTTGTATCAAAATGTAGCTTAAATCTGAAAATGTACTTTGTTAGATTTTTATTAAATTAAACTTAATCGTTGGCTTGCTGTGATGGGTCACATATTTAAATTCACGTCTCTGGGGTGTCCAAAGGTACAGGTTGGTGTTTATCTACACTAAACTGGTCAAAGGATTCTACCATATGGCAGAAGAAAATGTAGGAAAGTGAAAACGATGAGAAAAGGCTGAAAACTGAATTCACACATTTTTCCCACAACCTTGTGACAACGATGACCGACTGTGTCTATCACTTGCATCTGCAGCCAGAAGGGTGAATTCTACCGTTGTCAGACACAAGCAAGGGGAGAAAAGGTCATAATATTGTGAGGGTTTATTAGGGTGAGCCTCAGTGACACAGGGAGGTCTTGTCCCTCGACGTATAGAGGTCTGAATGACATCTCATGCATTATTTACACCGTGCCAGGAGCATTTCTGAACATTCAGAATGTCATACGTGTGGACAGCAGGGATGCTAACGGGCTAACAGTCCAACACTGGAAATGTACGCTGGCTGTATGGGATGGTGGAAACAAAAAGGAGCCAGGAGTCACTGGTTCCTCAGTGTCAATCAGAATACAGATGAAGTCTCAAATTAAATTTGTAGATTGCATGAAGAAAACAGCAGAGTACAAAAACAGCATCAATCCAACCGGGGAATCCGGCGCACCAAAGCTGGATGGCGAGTAATGACGAGCTGCTGAACCTAGCGGGTCCAATAAGACGGATGTATATTGCACTGGGAGAACTGGGATTTCCCTAACCGTGTTCGACTAATAATTTAGCAAAACGGCTACAGTAAATTAAATTATTGGCGTGGAGAGGAGTCGTCTTCATCGAGCTCTTGTCTTACGGTCACTGAAAATATTGATTCTGTAATAGAGAAAATAAGAAGGACAGAACACTGTGAAGTGTTTTGTTCTTGTGTTATTAAGGATTGTGTAACACAAGGAGCACATAGTGAGAAGACTGGTTGTTCAGAGCGAGCGCACTGGTAAAATAAATATGGAGCGAAGAAGCTTTGAATGAAAAACTTCACTGAACAAATCCACATGAAACACAAAATGTTCAACAAACACGCCGATGCTTAGTTTTATTTGTTTGAAAACAAAAAAAAACTAACACGGAAATCAACAGAATTTAAAAGCCCATATCTGTTGTTTTTCTTCCAGTTGCTCCCTTCGTCAGGGTCTCCACAGCGAGCGAGCCATTATCTTACATCAGATGTCTTTTCCGACTCAACCCAGGCTCAAACCTGCAGCCTCAGGATTACAGGACCCACTGACCACTGAGCTACTGCAGCCCCAAAAGATCATTAAAAATATAAAAACCGGCGCCTCACCCTTATTTTTGCTAACAGGGCATCTATGGCGGTGGCCAGTTCCTGGACTTGTTTGACCATTTCCTGTTTCCCTTCCTTCAGCACGTTCACCACCTCGTTGAAACGCTCCATGTGCTTCTTCAGTTTCTGAACTTTCACCATCCCATCAATTCTGTCAGAGCAGAGAAACGCTGAGTTACAATGTCAAATAATAGATGAAACTTTTTTTTAATATCATTTAGTGAAATCATAGTAAATTAAAAAGTCTTAAAATGTTTAGAAATATTCCAGTTTACAGAAACTACATTTAATAAGAATAACACTTAATAGACAAGCAGAAGACAAAAGTGAAAGATTAATTATTTTAGTTAGGTGACTGTGTTTTTAGTGTAAAAAACACGACTACATAATATAGATCAAAATCTATAAATAAATACAAAGTACAATTTACAAACTGTAATATTTTTGCATAAAGTGGAGTGAAATAGAGAAAACTATGAAGTTAAATTTACTGATACATCTCTGTATGTTAGTTAGGTGTTTAAGCACCAGGACAGCTACATTAAAATGGACCAAAATTTTAAAATAAAATAAATAAATACAAATGTCAAATGGATTTTAGATTATTTAATAAATCTTTGAATTCATCTACACTTGTTTCATGTGAAATATTGAATTAGCTGATGTGTACTTTGTGCAAAACGGCACAACAAAATAACATTTTTCTTTTTTTATTTGTATTTTACATTATAATTTATATACAATATTTTATTTTACTTGATCATAATCTGTAGTATTGATTGGATCCCTGGAGGTAAAAATGTATTTTTGCCTTTCCAAGTGAATATGATTGTTTTATTCATAATATATAAGTATGTATTTTTTCAACCTCCTCCTACTTTTAATAAAGATTTAAAGTTAGTTTATATATTTTCACAGTTTTCATCTATCAACATAAATTGTCAGTTTGAAGTAAGATTCTTGAAACAGCCCTGTTGTAAACGGCATTTACAATTTAAAACTCAGCTTTTTAAATTCTTTACAAGAACTTTGTTTTAATACTTTGCCAAAGAATTATATATTTAGTATCTTATGATCCACAAATGAATTTATAATTGAACCTGAACTTATAATTTGAATTGAACTTGAAAACAACTACAGTAGTCCCTCATTTATCGCTGGGGATCCGTAACCTGAAGCTCAGCGATAAGTGAAAAACTGCAAAGTAGGAAGAGTGGTACAAGTAGTAGTTTATTTATATATATATATATATATGTGTGTGTGTATATAAAGGTGTTTTAAACCCTTCTCACACTCTTGTAATATTCTAAACAATGTTTCTAAACTCTAAATGCTCTAAAAGAGCACAGAATGTCATGATTTAGGCTCTCTGCCTCCTGCCAGCGCTCTCGGCCACGCCCACTTCTCTGCTGCAGAGCGAAGATCATGACAAGCTGCATGAAGAAGCTTCTCCTGCAGCTTGGACTCCACACAGGTGCTAAATAATTTTAAACAATTTATTTTAAATAAAAAAATCCATGCCGGTCGTGTGGCTCATCCATCAATCGGCCAATTGTGTGTCATGTCCAATCTTATTTTGAAAAACCGCGATAGAGCGAAAAACAAACCGCGAAGCAGCGAGGGACTACTTTATTTGTGATTTCATTTGAACAAAAAGCAGCGAGAATATAATAAAATAACATAAACAGAAACTCACCGTGGCTTATGCTTCTTCTTACACAGCCACATGCGGACAGTCTTTTGAATCTTAATGCAGGCCACAGCTCTGTAACTCATTTTATTCCTGACTGGAAAAAAAAAAACGGCAAACAAAAATACTTATTGAGAATTGCTATGGAATTTATTTTCATTATACGAAGAATATAAATTCTGCTCTCTGAGGTATTTCATGGACATGGTTTCATTTTAAGATTGAAAGTGAACACAGCATTCCCTCACTCACACAAATGGAGCAGTCCTAATAAGGTGGAGTGTTGAAATAATAGGACAGAAAGAATAAATGACCAGCACCAGAGGCAGTGCTCAGTTACAGCTGAAATGTAATTTCATTCCATGCCTATATACAAATATACCACAGCTCGCCTGCACTTTGTGAATTGGCAGAAATTGATAACTTGGCACTGAGTGCAACAAGGATGTGCTTCTGGAGAGCTATTCCTTACAGCCAGAGGCTGCTTCTTTCAATAATCGAAAGGAAATGAAAAGTAGTAAAAGTGTCAGGGTGAAAAAACTGCCCCAGGCCGGGTGGCAAGCTGTGGAACAATAACAGACGGGAAATGCTATAACATAAAAAGGAAGTTTAACTTGGGCTCTATTTCCAGAAAGCCAATTTTTACAAAGCCCATATAAAGTGGGAAATTCTTTCAAGTAAACGAGCACTAAATAGTTCTGGTGCACCAAAGCTATCCTTAAGGCTGCTTCAGCTACGTTCTGCACGTTGTTGCACGGCGCTGGATTTCACCTACGTTTAATGACCGACAGGCAACACCACTGGACCTTCTTCCAGCAGCTGCACAGCAACCACTTGTTGACCTTCTTCAGCAACTCTGCCAGGTGCTCCGGGTCCGACTTCATGATCTGGTCAAACTCAGCAAACTGATGCACGCAGACACAAACCAGTTCAGTTAGGGGAGATTTGTTGATGCGTAATGACAGACAACACTAATATCTTACCTTCCCTGGGCGGAAGAACACTCTAGTCAATCCAAACTTAAAATCATTATCATTTAAGCCCAGTGCTTTGAATAAAGCCTGTGGAGGGAAGGAAAGCACAGAACTGTTGTGTAACTGGTAAGAATTTAAGCCATTTAAATATGTTAATTTAGCAAAAATTAGCCAACTAATTAGGTTTTATATAAGCAGATTTATTATTATTAAAATCCTGTAGCACACAGGATCTCTCCAGTGAAGGAGAAAAGTCGTCGGCTTATGGAAGCTCACCTTGCAGAAGAGCCGAGGGTTCAGTCGGGTAAGCTTGTCAGGCATGTACGCTTTATACATGTTGTAGAGCTCATGGAAGGGAGCCCTGGAGGGGAACCCCCCCTGCATCAGGTCCAACACAGACACCATTCCTAAACAAGACAAACAAGGAAACAATCCTGATTACTGCTGTCCTGTGCAGGGGTCTGCAACCTGCGGCTCTGGAGCCACGTTCCTGGTCCCTCTGCAGCGGCTCTTTCAAACTTTGACCAAACCTAACAGAAAACTGAATTTTATAGGCTGTTGCACCCACAACAAAAAATTACTAGTTTTAGCAGTTTTCCTGTCATTTCCTTTGCAAATATGTGGATACTAGTAATAATACACAGAGTAAATTAAACTCACTTTAACTTTATGTTTATTTCTTCAAAGTAGGACACTTAATTTCTCCACGATTAAAAAAAACAAACACATAAGCCTGCACAGTTCATTGGTTTTTTAAATTGGTACAATAATATCTTTATTTTTCTTTACAATAATCCAGTCTTCTGTGATAGACTTGCGACCTGGATATGGACCCCCTGCAACCCGAAAAGGAAAAAGCGAGAAAAGATAACGGATGAATGGAATCCAGTCTTTTCTTTTGTCGTAAAATGTAAAAATGTCAATAAATGTTAATCATTAGTTGTTTTTAGTTTTATAATTTCATACCTACAGGCCAGAAAAGCCCCCTCTAACAAACTTAAAGTGGCCCATGGGCCACCAGTTGATAATGACAGTTGTAGCAGGTTTTGCGGCTCTGGACACGTTTCATTTAGTGAACGAAGGAGCAGAAATGGCTCTTTTGATCCTAAAGGTTGCAGACCCTGGTTTGGCAGATATCCCAAATATTTATCCAAAAATAATTCACTTCATAAAAATGTTTCCACTGAGTGTTGTTTATGTTTTGCTCGTACCTGAGCACTGCAGCTGTGAGAGAATCAGAGCTCCTTCAAACTGGTGGCTCACCATCTTTAGATTGGGTTTTACACAGCGGATGAAACTCGAGCCCTGCACTCACAAACATCAGTCAGGAAACAAAAACAAGATCTGATTCATTATGCTGCATTATGTTGTCAGCACAAACCATCCATTTGGCTTTAATTCAAAAACATGTATGTGGTGTAATAATGTCAGAGCGTGTTTTATACTGCTGGGAAAACTGGTTTGTATTTAAGGACAGCTTTACTCACGGTGCTGCGAAGTTTCTCAAGCAGCAGGATCAGCTGGGTCTGATGAAATAAACAAACAGTTTTAATTATTTGTTTGGAAAGAGGCAGACAAGTTCAGCAAATTCAAATGTGCTACAGACCCAGGTCAGCAGAGGAGGTCAAAGAGCAAACATAGTTAAATACTCACAAACTATGAACAACTAATAACTTGGGCGTTTTTCCTGAACTTCACTGAAACTCTGTGAAAAAGCCCGTTTTGGTTCCCTTAGGATTTTCCTCCAGCTATGAAACTTTCTGTTTTAACACCTCAAGCAGACTTTATCCAGATTTATCCACCAAGGAAGAATTTCTCAGAGGAAAGAGGTGAAAGACCAGAGGAAGTCTTAGAGAGGAGCGCAGAATAAGGAGGGAGACTGGAAAATGGGAACGAGTGAAGTTACACGTCAGATTTAAAGGTTAGCTCACTTTTCTCCAGACTGAAAAGAAGCTTAAACAGATTGAAACGAGCAAATTAAAATAAACGGGCAAAGATTCCGAACAAAGATTATAATTCACGCATTATTTTATTTTTAATTTACACCAAAAACTTTGACAATAGCCATACGTTCTGCTTAATATTTCTCAAAATTCAAAAAACAAAATCCAAAGTGACACAAATTACTGTGACACCGAAGATTATAGCAGGGGTGGGTGAGATATTTAAAGCATTTGAAGGGCTGCACAGAGAATTAGAAAATCAATATTCTTCAAAACAAAAATATGTCTCCCCGAATACCCTTCAGGGATATAAAACATACTCCCAGTAACATGACTCTCGTGACATTATATTTGTTAGCTTAAATGTGAAAATAAAAAATAAAAACACGTTTACTTTTCAAACTTCAAGTTTCTTTATTGTCATTCGCATCACATGTGGTACATGAGGTGGAACAAAATTGTGTCCTCAAGGTCCCAGTTACACCCAAAATATAAAGTATAAACAGAAACAGTATAAGGATCTAAGCTATACGCTAAACACTAATAATGTAAAATAATACAGTATATTAAAGAGCAGCACAAACATGAGTCTGTAGTGAGAAGATGGGTATGAATGAATCAGTATGAGATCAGCAGCATGGATAATCAGCAGCACAGATTAAAGTGGCATGGATGAGGGCATTTTGATGGGTCTTTCTTAGTGTTTAAGATCAGGTTTCAGTTCTTGTTTTGGTCATTGTTTTTCTGTATCTTATTTTACTGATGTTTATTTATTTGCTGTTTTCCTGATCGGTCTGTAGCTTTGGATCCTAGATCCTGATCAGGTTGTGTTCCCTGGGCTTTCTGTTACTGCCATCCTGTATGTTCAGTCTTCCTCTGTGTAGATCCTCCTACTCAGTTTTGCCCCGCCCACTGTCACCTGTTCTCAGCTGTCCCTCCCCAGGTGTTTGTGATTTAGGTTCATTAGTGTTTCTTTATATTCTGTGCTCCTCGTTTGTTCCTTAGTTCTGCATTATGCTGTTGACAGCTATAATTTCTCCTTCCTGTGTCTCCTCGTGTTTCCAGTGTTGTTTATTTTGTAGCTAGTTTAGCTGCCTCAGCAGCCACTTGTATAGTTATTAAATCAGTTCTGTTGGATTTTAGAGTCCCTCTGTTCTGTCTGCACTCATAGTTTTCAAATCTCATAGAAATCACGACAATTTGGAGTCTTTAAGGTTCAGCCTAGTGAAATACAAAAACTTGAAAAAAGTTTCAGCCTACCGTTTTATCGATAAAATGCAGGATTTCATCAACTTATTTAAAAGTTTTCTTTTCAATGAACAACAATGGGGTCCATGAGGAGATTGTCCAAGGGCCACTTTTTGTCCTTGGGTCATATGTTGCCCATGTCTGGGTTACAATCGGTGGATTTAAAGTGATAAAAACATATATCTAAACAGCTATGATTTATTTAAATTTGGGGACTATTATATTGTCTAACAAAGGTATAAAATGACAAGCTTGTACGTCCTCACTGACCTTGAATTTGTTCCCCACGCTGATGAAGCTGAGCTTTCCCGCCTTCTGTTTGGAGTCCTTGGAGGTGTTGGAGTTCTCAAACAGCTCCCGCACAAATATGTCTTTTGATTCGCACACTAAACTCTCCAATGACATGTGGAGGGCATCATTATTCTTCTCCACGAACCTCGTCTGTCAACACACACATCCATTCCCATACATTTATGCATTGGCAGCCTGTCAGCATCTATCAAACCTTTGCAGCTGGTGTCATATTTATACAAGGATAAATAATCTTAGGAAGGATGATGTGATGGAAAGTATTCAAAAATGACTCAACGTAAGTAAAAATACTTTGTAGGAAATATTCTAATAATGGATTATGTGAAGCCCTTTGGCAAACCATTATAAGATTTAAGTTAAGAATTACCGTTTCATAACAGACCGCTCCTGCAAAGTGCCTGATTATAAAACCTTCGTCGTCCCGAAGATTCCTGTGAATGGTCAACTTTGACTTTCTGGGAACCTGGTTGTGTAAAGAAATATATATAACTGAATAAGACAGTGTCTACAGAACTAAACGTTTTACATGATGTAGTAAATACACATTAAAACTTTGTTCAAGGTCATTTGTGCTCGTATAAAGTGTATTAGAACATTTTTTTTATATATGTTTTAACATGCCACATTCATCCTTTCAAGAACTATCATGAAAGGCTCCAAACGTCGATCATTTTTCAGAATAGACTATAACAAAAGTTTAAGCTCAATTAGCTTCATCATCAGCAAGAAGAACCATGACAAGTGACCCTGTGAAAAGTGTGAAGCAGAAATGTTAGCTCTCGCAGCACATTCAAACGTTTATTCATTTTTTCACAGTATTGAACGCACCGAGTAGCATTCAATGGGGATGACAATAGCGTGGCTGCAGCCGGCCACTTGAATGAGCGTCAAGGCTAAAGTCTTAAAAGGATTTCATGTTTGCAGATAAGCAGCCAGAGTGTCCAACAATAAAGACAAAGAGAGCAGCAGGGGAAGGGAGTGGGGCTGCGTGTCGATCACAAAACGGGGTAAAAAAAAAAAAACCCAGCAAAAGTAACAACGTTCACGACAAAACGGAGGTGCTGTTACAGTTTTCCATATTAACAAAGGAGCTAAGAGCACAAAGCAGGATAACAATAGCAGAACTGGCGACAGAGCATGAAAAAGAGGGAGCAAAACTAAAAGAGTGTAAGAGCGAGCAGAGCTCAGAGTCTGACCGTCAATCTGAAGTGGTCTTTGTGTTTGCCGTGAACAGCCACTGCAAAGTGTTGGTCGCTGGCCTGAGGAAGACGGTTCTCTTCATCCAGAATGTCCAGGATTCCCACCAGCTTTGCCTCCACGAGATCTGGAAAAGTCAGTCACTTAATTCAGCGTCATCATTCATGTTTAGGTCTAAAATAAGCATCTGCAGTAGTGATTAATATCAAGACATCCAAACGGACATTGTCCTATAATAATCCCCAAGTTTCAAATGCTTGCAGACTTTTTAAAACTTGATTCCCCACAGAGTATTTATTTCTTGTGTGGGAACCATTCTGAAAGCAGATGAACGTTCTGTCTGCAAACGTGAGATTTAGTGGGAGTTTCCACCGCTTATTCTTTCTGAATTTGAACATCTACAAAGTAGAAAACGCGTTCATCAGGATGCTCATTTAGACACACATTTGAATTATTCATACAACATGCTGTTTGGAAAATAGTGCGATGGCCAAGGACCTTAGGGGAAAAAAAAAAAAATCTCCGTGGACAAGCACCTGCGCATAAATCCTGAAGACTGATGAGTGAATTAATGGCCATCCCAAACGGTCATTTGCAAGTCATAACTGTTATTCAGTGCTGTCAGTTAGCCTCACACCTGAATAATCGCAACCTTTTGAAATACAAATAAACTGCTTCACCTTGATACGTGGACTACTTCATCTCATTAATTCCACGATTCATTCGAGGGCAGACTCACCCAAAACAAGGGACATCATTTCTCCAGCCTCTCATTACACAAGAAAGGCCATAAACCCACACATACTCGTTGAACTTGCTGCCCTCAGACACACTCAGATGCCAGCTTAGAGAACCGTAAGAAGAAATGAGTGTTTGTCTTCTCACCAGGTGGATTTTTACTGCTCTGATGTGGAGCTCAGAAAATGAGCCTATAAAGCATCGGTGAGGGAATCTCGCTCTTGAACCAAACTCAGAAATATGTGGGGTTTCAATTTTGTCAACCCCCCCCCCCCCCTTTTTGAAAATTCATGTCACCTTTTTCAGCATGAGCTCTCAAATATTTATGACTTTTTTTTTTTTTTAGTATCTGTGTTTTTGGTCATTTTTTAGTAATCTTTGTGTTTTTTCTTGTTTTAATTTTCATGTTTATATTCTGTGCTTTGTGATCTTTGTGTTCAGTTCTATTTCTCTGTGTTTTCCTGAGCAACCAGTTCAGACCAGAATGTTGGAGAAAAATATTCTCCCTTTATCTGACTTACTCAAAAAGAGCCACACTCGACAGCAGAAGAAGATTTCTAACCAGTATTTACTTGCAAGGTCAGATTTTCAGGACAGAAGTACACATGAAGACCAGTCATGAGAGTCAGCCACGAGCAGTGTGTGAAGCTTGTTTTTATATTCTCATCAGTTCAGCCGAGCTCACACACTCAGAGGCGTCCATCCAGCTCTCTCTGCTAACCCAAACATATGGTTCATGGGCAAAGTTAACATTCTCAGCCGTAGTAGTTAAAAACATCCATCAAAAATTCTGTTTCTGTGTTTCCTGAGCCACCAGTTCATTTCCAAATGTTGGTCCTCAGTTTCTGCTCATCTGTCCTGCTGTTACCTGTTCCCCATCACTATCAGACCACCTGTCTCCAATCTCCTCATCATGCCTGGTCCATTTAATCTCCAAGTCTTTACCTCACCTGTAGTCGGACATTGCACTTCCATGCCCTTTCAGCTCCTCCTCATGTTTCATGTGACATAACTGCTTCTTTGTTCTAGTTTTGTGATTATTCAATCTGTAAGTTTTCCAGCTTGTGCGAATGTCTGCATTTTTGGGATCACAAGATAAGATAAGGACTTTATTGATCTCACAGGAAATTGTTGACAAATTTACTGATGGGTCTGTTCAACTGGCCTGTCCACTGCCCACATATGGGTTCATATTTCAATAAAACTAGATTTTAAACAGTAAAACAAACTTACTTAATGACAATACTTGCTAGATGTCTGGCTCTTGGCTTTCAGTAACTGTGGCCCCCTGAGCAATTTAGTTGAATTGTCCTGCTCTAAGGCATCAATAGCACATTGAGTGTATATAGTTTAGATTTGTAGTCATGAAACTGTCTCAAGTTTCATCTCAAGTAACTCTTTCATATTATCAACTTCAGAAGAACATTACCAGTAAGGTGTCTGTGGGCACATGAGAGCAGCAAAACTCAAAAGTGCAGTGCAGAGACTTACCTATGCAGTCCTGGTTATCAACATAATGCACTTCATTCACTCCCAGACCTTCCTTTTGATAAAGCTCTTGCTCCTAACATGTAAAAAATATATTAATGTAAACAAGAAACTTTTTTTTTTTTTGTGTGATGCTTTAACTTCTTAAAAGAAAAGACCAAAAAAACATTAAACTGACAACATTTGAATAACTAAAAAGAGGTTAAAACAAGAATTGTTGCAGAATAATTACAGACCTTGGAAAAGAATAATGTTAAAAGAGCACAGGAGATAAAAAAAAAAAAAACAAGCCTCATCATGTCCCATGAGAAATTAGCATTCTAATGAGCGAGCACACAGGAGGAAAAACAAGAGAAGACAGAAAAGCTTAATGCCAAACATCTCTGCCTTGCTCATGAAAGAGTCAATAAGTTTGGCTCATCTGTGACTCCAAGTGGCATATTTCCAGGAATGAAAAAAAGAGGTAAACCACATCAAATCCCATTAATCCACAGGCTGCTCACTCACCTCCTTGAGGATGCGCTCGTTGAAGAACTGCTGCAGCTTCTCATTGCAGTAATTGATGCAGAACTGCTCGAAGCTGTTGTGCTCGAAATATTCTTAGAAAAGAAGAAATAGAAGCAGAAAAAAACACGGATTTCAATTAATTCTTCAAATGAAAAAGAAAAAAAAAAACTGCTCAGCTCATTTTTAATTATAGCAACGGGAAAATGACTTCTCAAGCAAGAGGCCCGGTAATGAAGTGTTTCTATGCATCAGGGTGTCTAAATGAATCCACAGACAGGAATCTTAATTCTGAACATAGCGACATAAAATGGTATCCAGATGGGAGCAAGATGCAGTCAATTTAAGTTGCAGGAGGAATAATTTGGCTTTTATGCTACTATCATACACATTAGACGAGATCCAAGATGAGCTGCATTTTATTACCAAATCCAGCAATGTCCAACACGCCGATAAAGTTGGAGGAGGTCTGGAAAGGGAAACACTGGTTCACACGTTTGACCACATGATCAAAGAGGCGGCTGTACACCGCCTTGGCCAGGGCATCCCGGGCATTGTTTGCTTGTTCCACCTTTAGAGGCACCCTGGGGGACACACAAAGTGGGGCAGTGAGAGAAAGTTCATAACTGGGACACGCTGGACTTCTAATTTTTCTATCAGCTCCATTTTTAATGTGGTATCAACTTTTTTATTGTTGTAGTCACGCTCTGTTCTCCCTGTTATGATACTTAAGAGTCCAGCTGAAAAAATGTTTAAAACTGAGGATTTCTCAGTCAAAGAGGACTTTAAAACAAAAAAATAAAACCTCAAAACTCTGCTGGGTTCTCAAATGGTGCTTTACACTAGGGGTTCTCCAATTTTTGGGTTCAGGGACCCCCTTACAAGGGAGAAAAAGTTTCAGGGATCCCCTCATTTATTTAAAAAAAAAATCTTCAATTTGTCTCTTTAATGCAATGGAAAGACTTGTGTAACATAAATACTTAAAACTTGTGCTTTAATAATGTTTATACAATTTGTATACTTTTAAACATGGGGTGTTTTTTCATTCAAAATACACTTAATTAACAACATTTTTTAATTTCAACGTCCAAAAATTACAGTTTTGAGAAAATTAACAGTATCATAAACCACTTTAAAACTTTACCTATTCACTTAATGAACATAATAAATATGTTGCCACTTCTTCAAATTATTACAGAAAACTCAACATAAAACTGAACAGAAGCAGAACAGCAGGAGTCAGACCAAGTAACAGGGATTCATTTGTAAACCGATTGATGCCGGAACGCAAATAGCAGGCGGG